AGAGGTGGGAGGGAGGGGGATCAATAAGGCCTGTCAGCGAGTCCGCCAGATGTTTCTGACCGTAATTCAATTATGCATATTATAAAGAGATGGTGAGGGGTTGGAGGCCTGATCAATAGGAAGGAGCCCTGGCTGAGAGGGAGAGGGGGCCAGGTCTTTAGCCCTTCTGATGGAGAGCCTTTTATAGCGGAGATTCCAGTCTCTGTCTCCCTCCCCCTCTCTCCCTCTTTCCTTCTCTCTTCTCCTCTGACTTTCCCTCTCCTCTTTCTCTATCTCTCTCTCTCTCTCTCTCTCTCTCTCTCTCTCTCTCTCTCCTCTTTTTCACCACAACCCATTTCTCTTTCTTCTACCCCGCCCCCTCCCCATTCTCTCCCTGTAGTCTCCAGGCATGTGTATTATTACTGTGCACATTGTACTTGTCTCAAGTCGAAGTGTCTACTGGTGATGGTAGCGGGCTGGCTGCTTCAATCTTTCCACCTCAAATGTTGATTATCCGGATATTTTTTTTCTGTGGCAGCGAGCTGAATGCTTGAAACTTTCCGCCTAAAATATCACTTTATATGGTAGCGGGCTGGCTGCTTGAAGCTTTCCCTCTCAAATATTTATTTATTATCCGGATACTTTCTGTCTAGGGCGGTGCTGGTTAACTTGGGTGATATCGGCCACAAGTTGGACATTTGGTCATTTTGGTGGGTGGTGGGGATCACCCGTGTAGTGATAGGTGTTATGTCGTTATGCCCCACTGTGAAGTACAGCCGAAACCTGCTCTAACGGCCATCTGATTAAAACAATCATCTGTACAAAAGGCCATTTCCCTTGTCCTCCTTTTTGTATTTTTAAAACATTATAAGGACACTGTACTGTAAAATGATCACATGTGTCAGATAAGACGATCACTTTTCTCCTCAAGAATGGGCCGTAGACAGTTTTAAAGTCTGTGCATTGGTCATGTAGGTTGATGGACAGACAATTTTAGCCGTTAGAGGTGAGAAAATGGGCGCTGGCTACAGAAAGGGTAACACTTACTGGTTTAAGATTTGGGCTTATTATGCATTGCTGTATCAGTTTAGTTGAAGTTTTTCTGGGTATAGTGGTTGCTGGTGCTGTGCTGTTGTAAACAGGTTGTGGCTGTGTAATGTTCTGTATGCTTGAACTATATATATGTGTGTGTGTGTGTGTGTGTGTGTGTGTG